AAGCTCTTCAGTCTGCTGTGTTGGTTGAGTTTGCTGGCTGAACCATTTTTGTTCACGCTTTTAGATCGGGATGACTTAAGATGTCGCTCCCCACAGACGGCGCTAAATGTTTATACAAAGGTCTGCACAACACTGTTTTACGAATCGAGCTCGAACCCGGTCCCCGGCTCCACCTGAACTCAAGAATGGACCTGCACAAGAGGGTAAACACTCTGACGCTCAAGTCAGTATAGGTCGAACTCAGTATTTAGCTCGAGGTGAGATTCGATACCTGAGCGTGAAATGAGGCCCTCTATTTATAGGTGGTGGATCCGACAGTACTCACGACTGGCAGTTACATGTTCTTTTCCTCATGTCGGATCTGTCGGGTTCCGAGCAGATCAAACCCCAATCAGGTCGAACTTCGGCATGTATACTTAGCCTTTTTCCAACGGGCGAACCCGACCTCCTCAGTGGGTTCGAGGTGGACCTATGATATTTTAATCCTTGAACACCGATAAGCGTCCTCCACGTGTCCAAGGTATTTTTACCTTCAAACATATTATCTATAATCTATCTATAATATGTTAAAATGATAGCATCTCTCAAAAATATTTTTGGACAATGATACCCCTATATTTTTTTGATTAATTACATTATTGTTATTACTGGCCACTATTACGTGTCACCTCTATTTTTTTAATTAATTACATTTTTTCCATTAATGCTCATTATTATATGCCGCCTTATGATTTTTACCGATTTACCCTCACTTTGTATTTATAATAGAAACGTTAAATTAAGACATTTATTTGCATTTGGACTTTTCATTTTTTTCCCTATTACTTTATTAAATTTGGTGGTACGTTTTCAGTTATAAATAATTGAAATTTATTAGATTGACCTTTTAATTCCTTTTATGTTACTTATTAAAGATGAAAAAAAATGTATAAATATGGTTACATTAACAATTTCCATATCCGAATTTGGTAATTGAGGATCTCTCTTTTTGGTAATTCAAATTCTCAAATTTGGTAAATCAATATTCTTCGATTGCAAAGATGAATATGGTGATTGACGACCTTAGGCCTTTTCAAAAGGGTTGGACAATTAAGGTTACCATTGTTCGAAGATTTTACATACAAAAGGTGACAAACAGAAAAGGAGAACTATTGAGAATCATGAAATTGATAGTGATCGACACAAAGGTAATTTTTTTTATTGAGCAAATTACTCTTTGTCATCCAATTTTTAATCTCTCCCACTTATCTATAATAATGTTCCACAATGCAGGGAGTTTTTATTCAAATCAATCGGTTTGACGACTTGATTGAAAAGTTTGGAGACATGTTGGAAAAGGAAAAAACATATACGATCAATGATGGAAACATTAAACCAATTGATGTGAGATACATGAATGTTCATTCCAAATTGAGATATCATTATCTCAAAACAGCGAGCTGAAAGAAATTGGAGAAACATTCTTTCTCACGAAACAAGATTTTTGCAATTTTGAATCAGTTCTCGATTATCAGAGCATAGGTACCTACCTAAATTTTTGTAAAAACATTTTCATAACTATTTTATTATTTAATTAGTTGAAATAATCTTTTTTTTTCAGATGTGATAGGAGGAGTTGTACAAATAAAACCTATAATTTTCAGAAAGACTCGTGATGGAAGTTATTCAAAAGAAAAGGGAAATTCTACTCATGGACAATAAGTAAGTTTCTATTGTATTACAAATTTCAAATGATTTAGATACATACTATTTACCTAATCTTTTCTTATTCTTATTACATATATAGGTTGAATACAATAAAATTACACTGTGGGACGATTTAGCAGAAAATGAAGAACAATATCTAGAAGAAAATGGCAAGACACAAAACGTGATTCTAATCACAAATTTCAAACCTAACCAATTTGAAGGTACTTATTTGTTTGTAAAGCAATTCAATGTTGTGAAGACAAATATATAAACTAAACACTACAACTTAAAATTACAGGTGAGGTTAGCATATCATCTTCAAATATTAGTGTAGTTGCCACATAAATCCATTGTTGAATGAAACTGAGACATTGAAGTGCAGGCAAGTATTTTAAAAATTATAATTGTGTTCTTTTTTAGTAGAGTTATAATTCTAATTATTTATGTGTATTAAAATATATTATTATATTTAATTTAATATTTTAAGACAATAAATTTTAGGATGCATACTCTTACGGAAGACAAAAAATTGAGGGATCTTTTATATCCGTCAAAGAAAATGATGGAAGCAAAAGAAGTTGGATGATGTTATCAGAGGAAAAGTATGTGATCAATATTGTTCTTTTATTGAAAGAATAGTAAAGATCCATAATAAAGATTCTCCATGGTTTGAAAAGTTCAATTCATGCAATGAGAGATTATATCCCGTAAACTACAACCCAACAGCTCATTGTATGCAATGTGAAAATGAGAATTCGACTTTTACAAGAAAATTTGTATTGTGAATGCTTGTATCTAACGGTGAAGAAGAGGGCTACATAACTATTTTTGATGTTGTTGATTACATAGTTGGATGCAATGCAACAGAATATTTCAATGATTTGAAGGTATTTATTTAAACTGAAACTTATTATTTCTTTTAGTAATAAAACCAATAACTAATTTTAATCTCTATTTTTCAGGATGCCAAAAAAGAAAAAAGTAAGTATTATCAAAATTTAGTAGTTGTGGAAGATAAAAAATACTACTTTTTGGTTAAGATGAACAAAGTTGGAGAAAGTGATTGTGCACGCAAACAAATCATTGTTCAAGAAATTTGTATGGTTGGTTCAAAGGCTTGCAAAAAACATGAACAAGATAAAGAGGAGAAAAAGACAATTGAAACTCAAGAGAAGAACAAGCGTGCAAAAGTAACGGGAAAAAATTAGATGTCGATTGTTTGAGAAAGCTATTTTATATTTTATTTTGAATCCATGTCATGATATTACAATGTCATTGTTGATTTCTTTCATAGTTTCAAGTTTTATGTTTTTTCAATTCACATGCAATGGAATATCTTACGGTGCTTTCAATTGTTTCTAAAACTCATGTTATAACATTATTTTGCATTAAACAAAAATAAGGTAAACAAAGCAAAAAAAATGAAATAGATTATTAAAATAAAATTTTGTTATTATTTATTGTATTGACCAAAAAAAAATCAATCCGGAAAGAATATATTAAATGAATATTTATGGAAAAATCCATAAAAACATAATATTGATGATCTATCTCCAACCAAAAAAATTAAAAGAATAAAATAAAATGAAACGAAATTATATTTTTATTGTAAAATGAACTTATACTTAATTTTTGTTTTTACCATCTTAATTTTTTCTTTTAACCACTATTAAATATATAAATTTTAAAAAACAAATAAAATTTTAAAAAATCAATCAAATCAAAGTAATTAAGCTAAGCTGTAATATTGAGTTTTAGTAGGGTAGGTTTAAGATGGTCCACCATCGAATCGAAAAAAACGCAATAATTAAGTATGTAACATAATATTTTTAAAATATTAGAACAAAATAAAGTGTTGACAATTATATAATGTAGGATAGGAATATTTTAAATATCAAGAGATAAATTCCAAAAAAAAAAAAAGGAATACAAGGAAAAAAAAACACACCGACATGGTTAGATTTAATAAAATTAAACAATTTTCTTATAAACCCAATAAAAAGTACATCAGACTAAAATTAATTTATGTAAAAATAATATTTTTCTATAAGTATTTTTTTTAAATAACATTGAGGATTAATATATGACAATTAACCATATAATTGTAAATTTCAAATATAAATATAAAGTTGTAACAATTACAGTCTTTTACCATTAATTTGTAACTTTCAACATAAATTATTTTAAGAAATTCATTTTGTAACTTACATATTAACCATTATTATTATCCTGATAAAAAAAATAACGGTTTAATTAAATTCAATTATTACCCAAATTCATTGTCCACCATTATAAAAAGACATAAACTTTCAATTCTACTTTTCCAAATGCTTCCATTCTAAAAAAAGGACATGAACTTCCCAGTTATACTCTCCCAAATGATTCAATTGTATTAAAGTTTTATAAGAAACATATCTTTCCAATCATAAAGTACGATAATCTTCGTCTCTTCTATTTTGTTTTGAAAGTTTTTTTTCTTTTTTTTTTTCTGAAATTAGTTATGTTTGATTCCAATGCTAAAAAAATTCCGATTTGAATTTTAGATATAATTTCCCATTGTTCTTTATCACCTATGTTTATTAGGTGGTAGGAAAAACAAAAAGCAAAGGTGATATATCATTATTATATCTAACAAGTTCATGTTTAGATGTGTACTATATTTAAAATTATGAATCAATTATTAGGCCAAACTTAAACATAAAATACCAAAAAAAAAATTATAATAAAATTAAACTACAAAATAGAAGAAAATATTTTTGTTTGTTTTAATTGCAAACAGTAGCAAATTGAATTATAAAATGTGTAAGAATCTTCAAGTCTACAAAGAGAGGATTACTTTTTTTTTTTTTTAAATTTATAAGGATACTAAGTATTTTAAAATTACAAATTTACTTTACTTTTGTTGTTTAAAATATAATCTCTATTTATGAAAAATAGGCAAAGGTTGATTATTCTTCGTCAAATACAGTCATTGAGAGACATGGGTAAGTACTCCAATAAAATAACAATTATGTATTATTCTATTCATTTCATTTCCATATTTGGTTCTTGAATTTTTATTATAAAAATTACCCTTGGACTACTTAAATTTTAGAAATAAAACAGTATGAGATAAAAGAAAAAAAACTATATGAATCAACTACACACTTCGTGCACGAGAATGGAGGGAGCATTCTCACTCGCACCCACATCATTGTCATCTGTACTTTACATAGAATTTTTTGTCTCAAATATGTATTTTTAATTTTCAAACTTTTTAATAACAGAAAACTAAAAATAGTTACTCGACATGTTTGATATTTTGTTTTTCTACCGGAAGTCAAAATTAAAAATAGAAAAACCAAAAATCAAAATTATCAAAGGGGCCTCAATTTTTAAAATTAGAAAACTAAAAATAAAGGAGGCCGAAGTTAAACTATAGGAATTGAAATCAAACTTTTAAAATTACAAAAAAAGGGAAAAGCCAAAACACATGTAGTAGGAAACTATAGTTTAATTTTTTAAAAAAAGGAAGGGAAAAAAACGTACAAGTTATCCTATTTTCCCCTTAATTTAGCTCAATTACAAGTTTAATCCAAATTTTGAAAATTGTGTCGATAAATTCTTAAACGTTACAAACTTTAATTGATTGCTAAAATTTCAATTTTTTTTTTCAATAGTCTAATAACTTTCTAAACTTTTGACTGTGTTCAATACATTTTATGAGTTTTAAACAAATAAACTTTGTGTTCAATCTACAAATTTTAAAAAATATTAAATATATTAATTACTAACTACTAATTTTGTCAAAATGAATATTACTTAAACATATATCTCAAGAGTGGTAAGTCTAAGTGTAAGTTTAACCTTTATACCCCACATTTTTTTTATGAATTTATGATTTCAAACAAAATTATGTAATGTTAAATGTTTAGTAACGTTTTAGAGCCATCTAACTAACTTCAATTTGGTACTAAAAAATTATAGTAATAATAATAAATAAATAATAATAAGCCTTCGACTTGAGCTTTATTGTTCGCAACCGCAAAACTTGAGAATTGACGAAGGGAGTAGTACAATTACAACTATCCCACGCTCCCATGTGTTATAAACTGAACACAGAATGAGATCTTCGTCCAACATTTCTCTTCGTGCTTCCCAGAAATGGATATGGGGCTGCAAATTGCGGATCCAAACACCTGCGTCAGAGGCTGCTGCTCCAGCAAATCCATTCCTCTTCATCTTCAATCTTCCGCATTCACGCTCCTCTCCCCGATTGCCCGAGGTAAACACTAAACACTACAATGACTTGATTCCGATCCAATTGTCATGAAATTGCCGAATAGATTTGTTGAAAGCGTGTGTATATCAAATGCTGACGCAGGGGCCGAGAGTACTGTGTATGAAGGAAGGTTGGATGGTAAAAAAGTTGCTGTAAAGAAGCCCATCTTGTCTACTTCTGAGGATTTGGACAAGTTCCATAAGGAGTTGCAGTTGCTATGGTCAGTCCCTCTTTCTCTCTGTTCTGTTGATGGATCCTTATGTCTTTCTTTCTGTCACTATATAAATTTCAGATAACTGATAATGGGTGTGTTATTTTTTTTCTTTTCCTTCTTCTAATAGTCAAATTTTCTTTATATGAAGTGAATTAGACCACCCAAGCATAGTAAAACTGGTTGCAGCCAATGCGAAGCCACCTAGCTACATGTTTTTCTTTGAGTTTTACGAGTCTCCAAATCTCGCGGAGAAATTGCATGCGGAAGAATGGAATCCAAGTATCAATCAGGTGCTCATGATCACTCTAGAGTTAGGTAATATTTTTCCTGTATCAGCTCGAATAACATCCTGTTTGTTCCTCATTTTGAGTAATTATCTTGTACCTTTGTGTTGATAATTTTTTATATGCATAATTTGAGTGATCTGATTTCTGTATCCATGCATTGTTCTTCTCAAGATATGGATTTTACCATCATTTAAGCACTAGCTAATTTAATGATGATAGAGTTGTGCCTATACTCAAGCTTTTAAATATTGTGATCTCAATTTTATGAAAATCAATAAACTAAATATTAATATTTAAGTTAAAAAATACACATATGACATACCACACTAATTAAATAAGTCAAAAAATTTAATCATTAGTATTCTGTTTATATTAGTGATGTATTGTTAATACTTATTACGGTTTAATAGGAATATTGATGAACTTCTTATTGATGCCAAACTTTTGAACATGTGAAAATATTTATGGAAATATTGGCATGTTGACAAATATTTAATTTCATGCCTATACCTTCGCAAGGTTGCATTTGAAGCATGCATACCTCTGAAGTTGGTGCTGGGGCTATTCAGAGTCATATTCTAATGTCTAAAAAAATCCCACCCACCAAAGAAGAAAAAAGAGAACATCAAATTTCACACTTCCGAGCATGTAAGAATTATAACCCAGTTTTAAGCAACTATTTCACTGCAACAAATGAAAATGCACTTGGCATTTACGGTAGAGAGTTCTTGTATTTGATGAGAAAGTATTTTCTTGATACGAGTTACTACAACAAATGAAAACATGAGCATGCTTTTGTTACCCAAAATTTCGGGTTCCTTGAGAAGTTGCAGGATTTCCATTGCTTTCTTGTGTGGTTGGTCCTCCCATACCTGTTATAGCATATAGGAGTTGAGTGCCCTGTTTTTCCAAATACGTAGCATGTTTTTTTGGAATTATTTGTTCTCGAGTAATGTGGTCCTCCACGACCTATATGCTTGTCTTTTAAATTGTTAGATGGAAATTGGCTTCTGTTAGAGTTTTTATTCGATTTGATCTTCCTCCACTATCTGTATGCTTGGTTTTTAAATTGTTGGGTGGAAATTGTCTTCTGTTGTAGTTTTTGTTCTGAGGTTGATTTTGATGCTTGAGATTTTTGTTATTTGGCTTCCTGGATGGTCACGACTGATTAAGTTCAACCATAGGAGAGTATTTCCAAATGTAAGTAGGGTTGCGTGGAGTTCTTAAGAAATGGTTTCCTTGAGTTGATCTGGCAAATCGGAAATAAATAATCGCCATCCAATCCAGAAAGAATGCTTGAAACTTGATAGCTGTTTTATTCATCTTTGTGAGATAATCACTCATCTTCTTAACTCCTTTCATTGTTGTCTGAAGACTGACCGGCCCTCAATTGGTTTATTCTTGATCTGTTTGCTGAACCATGGGGTTCGTTAAGTGCTTTCCAGACTGCTCTTAAGGACTGAAGATTCAGCTTTTATCGAGCTGCCCTTGGGGTATGCCAACAATGATTGGTCTGTTGTAACCCTTTCCACAGACGGGATTAGGTAAAGGTTCAGCTGAAGACTCTGATTTAATGGTTTGTAATGGAGGCAGTATTGTTCTAAATATGTCATCAGGTTTTTGAACACCAAGTATAGCAAAAACGATTGTTTTTCATAGACATTTTTAATTGATCATAAAGTTTGACAGAGAGAATTAGGTTGAAGAAGTTCCCAAGATCGAGGCTTCCATTGTTTGTCAAACCAGTGTAAATGGTGGCTGTTGCATTTTGGCATGTTGCAGTGGATGAGATCTCTCAATTGAGATTTTGGGTTGGCCTTGAGATTCTGATACCAAGTACAATTTTTAAGAAAGTGTGGTGTGTAAGAACAATTTGCAAGCCCGTTTTTCTAGTATATATGACATTGATTTTAAATAGTGGAATGTACAATCTGTTGTACATGGAGGGAGGAAGGGAGAGTTAGAGAGAGAGAGCTCTAATACTGATAACTTGAGCGTTGAAGGAGTGTTGTAATATGCTTGGCATCCCTCTTAGTTTTCAGAGTGTTAATCTTGTTTTTAAAGAGCTCGGGATAAACTAGTAATGCTCTTAATTACCTTAAAAATACTTGGAATATTTCACAATTATTGATCCTTTTCTTTTATATTGAATGGAGATTCACGGTTAGTGGAAGCTTGTAGAATTCAGTTCTTCTACAAACCAGTCTGAATATGACATCGGTTCTTGTTTTACTAGATTGAGTCTAAAACCCAATATATTATCAACGGTGTCCGTATTATATATTTGCCCTTTTCCTTTGATTGAATGGAGATTCAGGATTCTAATGGAAGCTTAAAGAACTCAGTTCTATACTAAAGTGTGGCAAAAAACCAGTATATAAGTTTTTATAACATCAATATTACAGCAGCAACAGTGTCTTTGTTTACTTGCCATTCTACTGTGCAATGATATATACATGGCCTTTGTCATCTTACCATTTTGTTTTTAGTACCTTTGGCTTTTAAAAGTGCTTTTAGTAAAATTAGTTCTCAAAAACTTATTTTTAATTTCAGAATTTGGCTAACATTTCAATAAAGTATTGAAAAATAAAAGATAAAACAAAGTAATTGTTACTTAAACAAACTAATTTTTTTAAAATATAAAACTAATACCACAATAGTTAGCAAAAAGGAACAGCCGAGGGCTGTGATAGAAAAAACCCCGCCACAAGGAACTAATACAAAAGTGCCTTCTAGTTGAGATCGACTGTTAAAACAGTGTGATTTTTGTTGCATATTACAGTTGATATGCACGGTAGAAAATAATTTTCATGAATGACTACCTGTATGATATAAGTTTCTAAAGTGGGAAGAATAAATGAATTGAGAATCGGGAGTCCAAAACTTGTTGCATGGATTCACTTATTCTTTGGATAAACCCTGAACAAGAGAAAAGTGGATAATTGAGGTTCAGCTAACATTGCTTATTTTATATTCCACTGTCAGCAATTAAAGATCTTATCTGGTGATGTTCTTTTTTTCATGTGTCACAAGCATCTTGTCGTCAGCTGTGAGCTAAACGGCTGAGCAATTGGCATGCAGTTCTCCATTTTTTTAATCGTCTTGTACAAAAATAACAATAAAGTTGCTGCTGCAGATGCAATAAAACTTGTATAAGTAGGTTTATGTTCAGTTTTAGGCTTAATTACGCATACATATTTAGTTCGTCTTCACATTATTCTTTTTCCAATTTTTCTTTTCCAGCTAAGGCCTTGCAATATTTGCATAACTTGGGGATTGTACACAGGGATGTGAAACCCGCAAATGTTCTTGTAAGTGTCTTCCAGAATTACTTTGTTAATTTGGTCAATCGCTTGTGCTATGAAAGTTTCCAAGTTGTGCAGCATTTGTTGGGGTGTACTTGAGCTCTAAAGATTTAGTGGCTTTCTGATGCAGCTTGACAAAGATTTACATCCATACTTGGCCGATTTTGGTTTAGCAGTGCACCGCAAGTATCTGAAAGGAATCTCCGCAGAAAACTGGAAGTCATCTGGCAAGCCAACGGGTGGTTTCTATAAGAAAAGCATGGTTGGGACGCTCATTTATATGGCGCCTGAGATATTGAAGAAGGAAATACATTCAGAACTATCAGATGTCTACAGTTTTGGCATCTTAATAAAGTAAGACTTTCTAATACTTGTTAATTTATTTCTACAGACTCGTGCTATTGCTTGTTTAAACTGTGAAGCAGAAAGTGACAGTTAAAAAGGAAGAAAGCGTTTGTGAGTCATAATGTAGCTTCCCTACTGAAGGAAAATTGTCAATGTATACGAGTCAGCTTTCCAGCTTGGAATCTTTTTAATTGTGCAATGCACTCATGCAGTAGGATTTTGATCCATGGATTTGGGTACCTATCATGTTTTTGGGTCATCGGTA